GGGGAGGCGAGATGGGGGAGGCGAGATGGGGGAGGCGAGATGGGGGAGGCTAGATGGGGGAGGCTAGATGGGGGAGGCGAGATGGGGGAGGCGAGATGGGGGAGGAGAGATGGGGGAGGCTAGATGGAGGAGGCTAGATGGGGGAGGCTAGATGGGGGAGGAGAGATGGGGGAGGCGAGAGAAGCTCTGATTGCGAGAGCAAGCCCCAGAAGCTCGCGCGCGGGCTGTGTGAGAGAGAGGGCCTCATCGCGCCGCCGTGAGAGAGAGCCACAACGCGCCGCCGTTAGAGAGAGCCTCAACACACCGCCGTGCGGGAGGAACTCGGCTAGCAAGAAAAATGCCCGAACTTTTGGACAACTATTTTTGAGTCACCCTGGGGATTAGTATGCGCGGTGTAACACAAAGTCACCCATGAAAACAGAGCGCACGTCGATCTACTCGGCATAATCGGACACAATGCAAGCCACCAAGAGATTTCTGTACGAATTTTGCGTATTACACAAGTCTAATCTGGATTGAACCAAAATTCTAAACTAACTCCATGTTCCTTCCCTCAAAAATCTTCTGGGAAATGAACAAGAAGAAGACGAAGACGAAGAAGAAGAAGAAGAAGAAGAAGAAGAAGAAACAGGAATGGTTCATCCTCAAGCTCTGTACCCTCCTACTAACCTCCTCTCTCTCTCTCTCTCTCTCTCTCTCTCTCTCTCTCTCTCTCTCTCTCCTTCTCTCTGTCTGTCTAACTTCCTTGGTTATTGGGGTGAACCTCCCCGTTTTGCATCGTGGCGAATATTGTATCGGGCCTGTATCTGCATCGTGCCACCACGGATATTTTTTTCCATGCCGACGTTTTTAGGACTACCCGTCTTTGTCAAGCACTGATGATAGTCGTTATCGTTCTCGGCGTGTTTCACCGAATATAGATACTTCGGTATACCCACTAGCTAACTACGTTTGCAACACCGTATCATTGTATTCGATTGTGCGTACGTCGTATATTCATGTTGACTAACCAAGCGCTTATTACACGTGAACCTCGTCACAGTCCGCTTTCCGCTGTTAGTATGTTGTACTCGTACCCTGGCTGTCGTTGTTATTGTTGTTGTTTTTCTTGTTAATAATTTGTTAAGCAAGCGATTGGAAATTTTAGTAGTATTTCATGGGGCACGTTTGCATAGTGCATACGTGACATCATGTCTGCGTCAAGTGTACGAATACGGTCAGTCATTAGACGGCGATCACAATTATTCACGGCAAGAAAAACGCATAATATTCATTATACATAACGTGCATAGACGTACATGTTTAAAGAAGTAAGCGCAGTAAGTAATACGTTAACGTATACATAGTGTCTAATTAAATCTGTGCGGGCACCGGCCCGGTGTTAGCTGTCAGTTTCAGCGTCTGTGTTGGCTGTCGCACTCACTGGTGAATCTTCTGCAGGGTATAGAGATGACTGACGTGCAGCGCGGCGGGGACAACCCAACTGTCACCACGGCGCTCCTGTCCGCCGTCTCCGACCTACACGCGGCCTCTGGACCTAAGCTCACCATTCCAAATGTACGCAGCGCCGTTAGCCCGACATGTTTATGCCGCTCATTCAGCCGTAGCCTCATTCAGACCGTCTTTTGGTCTTTTACACGTACAATCAAACTTTCAATATGTGTAATGGACGTTATTAATTTTACGCATACTAAATAATTATGACACCACCCACACAATTTATTGTACAACAACCATACCATATTTTCCCTGAGTTGATTTGCAAACTTAGTAACGGTCAGAGGCTAAACGATCAGAGGCGAACGATCATCTCCTTACCAACATACCATTAACACTGCGACTGCCATGCCTCTCTTTCACACATCACAGGCTTCAGGCGGCTTACGGCCCCCTGATCATCAGACGGTGCAGCGCACGCACTCGGACACGAGCGCGATGTCGCCACCGTCGACGCCGTTCGTGCGCCGCAGCCTGCGCTCGCCGTGCCCCTCGCGATCCGTCTCACCGCATCCCGGCAGCTGGCGCAACCGTAGCCTGTCACGGTCGCCGTCGCCGCGTCGACCGACGGGTCTGTCGACGGCTGTCTTCAATCTTATCGATACGGCACACGACATCGCCAAGCAGGATCGGCTGCAGAAACTGAAAGGTAGGGTTAGGGTTAGGGTTAGGGTTAGGGCTAGGTTTAGGGTTAGGGTTAGGGTTAGGGTTAGAGGTAAAGTTAGGGTTAGGGTTAGGGCTAGGGTTAGAGGTAAGGTTAGGGGTGGGGTTAGGGTTAGAGCTATGGTTAGGTGCTCGTTGTCCGTGCGTGGCGAGAGAAAAATACCGGGTGCCTCCGTTTATGTGGGCGTAATTGCGAAGATAAAAATCAGTCGTGGTGTTTGGTGTGTGTGCTGTGGTTGTTGCTTCTCACCGCTCGCCCCTTCTCGCGCGCCCTCTTCAGGCAAGAAGAACAAGGATGAGGACCTGTTTGGCATCAACTCTCCCGAGTTGCAGCGAGGACGCAGCCGCATCCGTCGACCGCGCGTCGGCGCCAAGTCGCCCGCCGTCGTGGCGCCACCATCGCCGATGCCGCCCGCTGCACCACCGCCGCAGCAGCAGCACGCAGCGCCGCCGCTGCCGCCGCCAAACTTCAAGACGACGGTGTTGAACCAGCGGTCGCGCAGTCCGAGTCCCGTGCTGACTCCGTCGAGCAACGAGTATTACGGCACGGCGCAGCTCGACCTGCGCTCGCGCAGCCCCAGCCCGGCCACCGACGCCGAGCACGGCTCGCTGCGGCGACCGCCGCGCCGCCTGCCGCCGACGCCCAACAAGCCGTCGACGCTCAACCTGCAGCTGCGACGCGCCGACCGCACCGTGCAGCTGCCACACGTCGCGCAGTCGCCGACGCTGCCGGCGCCCGACCCGCAGTCGCCCGACAGCATCAACTTCCCGCGCCTGAGCGCGTCGCCGACGCGCGCTCGCGCCCAAGCACAGCAGCAGCAGCAACAGCAGCTCGCGCCGACGCAGTTCCGCGGGATCGCGGGCCACACGCCGTCGCCGGGCACGAGTCCGTGGCCGTCGCCCGGCATCAGTCCGTCGGGCAATCAACAGGTGCTAAACAATGTCGTCGGCGCGGCGCGGTCGCCGCGCGAACGCACCGGCATGCCGTACATCGACAACGGCTTCCGGTTTGGCGACGCCGGCCGCGCCGCGCCGCGCCAGCCGAACGGGTTCAAGCCGCGACAGCAGCGCCACAAGGAGGCGCCGCGGCTACGGACGTCGGCCGCTGGGCCCGAGCACGGCAGTGACTCGGAGGACGACGATTGGTGCTGACGGCGGCGGCGCGGCGCTTAGGAAATTCTCTGTGAGATGCGTGTCGATGTTCGTCGTTGTGCCAGTCATTCGGGGGAAAGTTCCTTCGACAGGCGCGCATGCGCGCGATGGCCGACATGCAGGAAGGATCGGCGATGAGGAAGCATCGCCTCGGCTATCGTCGTAAGGCGCTACCCGTCGGTTTACAGATCTTATACGCTTGTCATCGAAAGATACGCGGTTTTTCTCGTGGCGATCAGTAAACAATGCTAAGAGCAAACCGAAAATCCCTATGTTGGTCTTGGTCGGGTGTGCCGTAACATCGAAGTAACCGGAGATAACAGTTCGGTAGACGATGATATCGTTCATCTAGGCGTGTGTAACGTCGTCATATGAGCTGTGACCAAGTTATGTGTACTTAGAGCCGTATTCAGCTTGCCCGTGGCATAGTCTTATTGGGTGTGACATGATCCCGTGGGCATGAATTTGGATTCGTGAGTTGTCTAAGAGTACTGTGGGCAGCTCTGTGTTGGCGTGATAGCTGCTCTGTGTGGGGCGTGATAGCTGCTCTGCGGGTGTCTACGTGTGCTCTAGAGGCAGTTGTTTCTCAGAACTCGTTGCAGACGATATCTGGGCCGCGATAGGAGTTCTGGGAGCGGTGCTCCTCGGGCGCAACAGTACTTATTCTCGGGTCGTTGTGTGGGTCACGTAGACGGTGGGATGAGCGTGTGACGGTGAGGACACTGATGTATCTCAACATGCACCGTTTGTCTCGACGGCGTGTTTGAATTTCATAACGAAACCGAAAGGGCTTGTGTGGTTTAGCAGTGAATTGTGTGTGTGTGTGTGTGTGTGTGTGTGTGTGTGTGTGCGTGTTGTGTGTGTGTGTGCGTGCGTGCGTGCGTGCGTGCGTGCCCGTGTGCGTGCGTGTTTTGAACATCCACACCTAAATAAAACTATTCCATGTTATTAGATTCGAACTTTGAAGGCCAAAGCGTGCTAGAGTTCACAGATCCGCTGATTCCAGGCTACGAACCATGATGGAGTAATGCTATAAACTTGTACATAGTAAACACTGGCTAATTCATTACGAATTCGCAATGTAGGTGGTGGTATACTCTTCCAATGACCAATGAATTAATTAATTAATGTGCACGATTTTTCCAATCGGTTTAACCATATCCGTGTTTAATTAATTTTGTTCCCATATTTCCATGCATGGAAAAACACCAACCGCAACTTGTATTGATTGATCCACCTTAGGCAGGTTTCTGACATTTTTAATGAAAAACACATAAACCCTAAAACTGTAGGTTTATTTCTCCAAACTAGTTTCTAGATATTTTAGATAATATATAAACGTGACTCGTAGAGAAACTAAAAGGTTAATGAAAATACTTGTGTAATCTATCTATATACTCTTCTTCTCTTCAAACTATTGCCTTCGAAACTGTGCCCCTTGTCACATCTATACGTGACATGTTTTAACTGTGATACTTGATATGTGTTGATACTTTATTGAGTATGTATAGTAAGTATTAATTAGACATTGAGGTGTTCAGACGCTTTCGAATACGTCGATGCAATTCCTAATTTAATCGCTTGTCAGGTTTGTTCGTTTCTTTTTCTACAAATTATAAATACGTAGTTTAAACTTCGCGGCTATTCGTGTACTTGTGGAGCTAGTGAAGATGGGCGCGTAGCGGAATGCCACACGTCATTCGTGCACACGTAGCATCGGACAAGAAATCTGAGAAAAAATCTCCGGAGTCGTTATCGATAGATTGACTCGTCGTTGACGCGCTACGTGGTCGCACGCGTGTAGTCGCGCGAACTATATTGGTTCTCGGCTGTGAGTATCGAGAAAATTGAATATCTTTTCGAATGGATTTGGTTGTCTAAGAACGCGTGACTGCGTCGCCATTCTCGCATATTGTAATGTAATATTGGTTTAGATCCAACGGCCGTGACCGGCACAGGGAAACCCTGCCTTGATACAAACCGAGATGCTATATACGACAGCATAGAATGCGATAGGAGTCGGTGGCGCTCCCTAGTTGTAGATGAAACTCGCTACGGTCGGTAGGCCCTTATTGGAGTCGCATAATTTCCATCGCGTGTCTTCAGCGCCCGTAAACTGAGATTATTGTAGATGAGCGAAGCGTACAAGGGGTCGACAACGACCACTCCTCGGAGTTTTTCTACGTGTACACACGACGACATATATAGATATATTCGTCGACGCAGTTTTACTGCTGTCCGTACAGAGCGATTCCATGCCGTAAGCGATGTCAGTCAGCCGAGGTTGGTGCCGACGCAAGCGCCCTCTGTTGCTATCTGTACGAGACATTCACTTACCGGTACATGTCCACCTTCGGTGTTGTTTAGCAGGTGATGCCACCGATGTGCTAGCTCTAACCGAGTGTAGTTGTCGTTGCCGCTACGGGGTAGGAACGATACGAACAAGGATACGTTACGTAGTTGGGAAACGACAGCGAATGTTCGCAGCATTGCATGTTATAAGCTGTAGTCCGTGATGCAATAGAAGTAAACGCTTGCCGGAAAGATAAATGTCCTTACTTTACCACGCTACCTCAAATCAAAACTTGAGTCACCGTAATTTGGCCAGTCCAAACTCAAACAAACCAAAAACACAAATACCCGGCCACGGCCATATAAGTAGCGGTGGTGCTTAACGGAAACCAGATTGCCTGCCATGTCGCCAAGATTTACTGCCGTTTCCCAGCACTGTGGGTCGTAAAGAGACTATAGAGAGGGACAGCGAATGGCTGGCTACGAGGGTAGAGCTCAGTACGTGCCTGCATGTCGGCGTGCTATGGCGCTGCTGATGCGTGATACCTTTACGTACCGTGTCTGTCGTCTACCGCAAACGCTTGCATGTTATCGCTCGCGATTTCCCGTCGATTTATGGTGAATTTACATTTCCCAAATCAACCCCTTGAATGCTTTTTGTACACTCTTGTCAAATGCTGCACTGCGCGCAAGGCCGTGAAAGCACGCTCGCCGAACGGGTACCATTCCACGGCGTCTCGATCTTCACAGAATGGACGGTGCAGTCTAAAGTGCACACAAGCTCGCGTTTTGGTACGAGGTAGTGTAGGGTTCTGGCATGTAGAATAGGCATGTTAGCTGAGAACTTTTATCATATATATAATTAAATATATAGGGGGGAAGTTAAATACTTCCATTTGAATGAATCGGGTTATTTAGTTGTGATCGCGCTCTCTGTATATACGAAGTTCCTTCACGCTTGTACGCAAATGCCGATTATAGCAGCAGCAGCAGCAGCAACAGCAGCAGCAGTAGTAGTAGTAGTAGTCCGCCTTGCCCTATAACCCGGCCGGTGTTAATATCAACCGTCAATTAACTGAACAAAAATTTGAACGGCCGACGTTTCAGCCAGTCAGAACAGTCGCGCACTAATTTATCGGGTTATTGACTAGTTAATCTATTACAAATTACTTCCATCTAACAGTGCGTCGAGTGCTTCGTCTGCTTCGTCGTCGGGCAGCCGTAGTCGCACTCTCCCCAGCCAGCCCACAAGCCTGCGTTCATCAATCTCACCAAATAATTATCAGTCACAATCTTACTCACTATAGATACCGGGAGCGCTACCGTGGAGGCGCGGGAGTGTAGTCTCTCCCCCTTACATGCGTATACAGCTGTGAGTGTTGTGTGGCGTGTGACAGGTCGCTACAGGTCGCGTGTTGGTGTGTGTACCAGGGTCAACGCGATCGGTTCGAACACAGATACACCGTGGCATCATACTAAATGTCACTATCCGTACCCTGCGACGCGTGTCGCGCTCTCCTGCTGGTCGTAGGCCGACGAGGACCCGCGACGCGAAGCAGGGTGGTGGTCTCTCTCTCTCTCTCTCTTTCTATCTATATCTCTTTTTTCTTCCCTTTTCCTGTAAATATTTTGTTACCTCGTCCAAAAGTATAATGTTCTGTTCTACCGACGTGTGTAAACGTAAACGTGAACCGTTGAATGTTAATATTTGTAATCCACTATTTTTTGTCATTTGCAATAAAAGATATCGATACGTGATAGCAGAGATAATGCTCGTTTATTCATGCCTGTGAGTTTTGTGGCGCTGTGACAAGCTAATATCAATAACCAAAGCCATCCATAGAACACACTTTACTAGTTATCATAGCTCACACCTGTACATTTATCTACGTTCGCAAAATCGCATTAAAAGCCAATCTCGCATTTCAACTACATATGCTCAGCCCGTTTTTTTGCCAGTTGAGTGACCTCAGCCATCAGATACACTGCTTTCGTTCTACACATAGATTTCCTTATAAGGGAAATAATTGTTATTACCCAAAATTTTCATGGAAAACGAACAATTATACTAGCGGCTTCACCGGCATGAGAGAATCTCAAAAAACAAGTCGGAAATCGATAAATGAAAAATCTACGAACCGCTTTCTCTCCACTTGCTTTTAGTTGGAATTGAAAGTTCATGTAGAATAATGCTTAAGAGGGAAATTTTAGCGCCAATTTCTGCGAAAATTATAAAGCTACTTTAAAAACTACGCCTGACGTGATACAGTAACACAATTCCATATTTACAATGCTTTAATAAGACACACGAATTCATTTGTTGTATTTACATAATTATGTATCCTAAAAAGGGGTAGATGCACAACATGCTAATTTTCTCATTTAAAAATAATATTTCGATAAGAATCTTTTATGCAACAGAAATCCTTCCCGACTATATTATTCATCATAAAAAATGGGAAAACAAGTAAAAGTCGTTTCTAGTTCGAATAATTATTAATACGATTATATTTGTCAAAATTTAAACTTTAAAACATTTTAAAATGCGATGTAAATGCAGCGTCTATTTCATACGTCGGCGCCTGTTTCGCAGCAAGCTGCAGCAGAAACCTCACCACTTTAATTACTTCATACACATTAAATAACAGGCTCAGCCACATCGGACACACATGACATGATATACGAAGAACAGCGAAACGTACGAACTTGATTATGTAACATTGAGGTCTCCCACATCGCTGGCAACGGCCATCACTAGGCAACAGAATTTAGCTCATAGAACATCGTATCTCGCTAGCGAAGCCTCTAGTCTATGAGGGGGCGAGCACTACATGTGACGCCTGTATGATTGCATTCCTGGTGCTGCCATCTCGTGGTGCACAGCGTACCGTGTGCATCATGCCCGCCGCTCAACATTACTGCAGTGGCTGCTACTACTACTGCGCCTCCTCCTATTGCTGTTCCTGCTCCTGATGCTGCTGCTGCAGCTGCTATTGTTGCTGCTACTGCTGCTTCTTCTTCTTCTTCTGCTGCTGCTGCTGCTGTTGCTCCTCCGCCTCCTCCTCCTGCTGCTGATGTTGTTGATGCTGCTGCTCTTCTTCTTCTTCCTCTTCTTCTTCTTATTCATTCGCTGCTTCTGCTGCTGCTGGTTCTACTGGTGATGATGTTGCTGCTGCTGCTGCTGCTGTTCTGTGCCATTCCTCGTCGGTTGATTGTCCATTCACCCGAGCTCAGTCACGTACGTAAGAGGGAAATATCCGACCTGCAAAACAATACGCAATGTCGTATGTTTTCCTGGTTCAACTGCACGGCCTGAAAACAACATTTTTCGTCAGTGGGGACGCTGAGGAAAATTTATATGTGCCGTGTATCACCCACGTTATACATTCCACCCTCGTTATATGTCTTAGATATTACTACGTTACCTCTAGTGATTACATACAGAGCGCTACTGTAGCCTAGTGACATACATGCCATAGCCAATGATCTAGGTTATTGTAATAAACACATAAGATATGCACAAGTTGGAATATTGCACTAGCATGTTGCGACAAAGTGCTTGTTATGTCATAATTATAATATATTTATAAGTGCAGAATGTGAATGTGAGCAAGTGCGTGTGAAACACAAACACATGTGACCAAATGCTGTGACAGACCAATGTACTGTGACAAAGTGCTGTGATGGACCCTCACGTGTTTTACCATGCCAGATCTCCTGTGATGAACGCGCCTACATGTATCACCTAGGATGCCTGTGTCGCAGTACGTAACTGTGGATGCTCCTCAAGTTTCCCAACAGCATATCAAACACATTAGAACGCTGTAACGTTACGTGAAAGGTAACTAAAGCTAGAACGCAACAATCGATGCGTGCACATACACATGCACACCCGCACGCGGATGCCCATATACACGCCCACACAAATACACACAACCCGAACACACGTACACGCGCGCACGCGCAAGCACCCCAACACACACATGCACACACATACGCACGCACACACACGCGCAAAGATAGCTAACTCGTAAAACGGTGGTTGCAAATTAGATGTAATGCTCCAATGTAAAACAAGAATTGTATAAATGGCATCTAGATGAGCATGACCACTTGCTTAACTAGACAGAGGGCACTCAAAAAGAGTGCATACCTCCGCGAGCGTGTAACATGTATACATGTGTATAACAGCTGGCTCGCTGCTGGCTGCTGCTGACTGGACGCCCTAAGGCGAGCTGCTGCTGACTGGACGGCCTAAGGCGAGCTGGTGCTGAATCGATCGCGCCAACGCGTGTAACATGTATACATGTGTATAACAGCTGGCTCGCTGCTGGCTACACACACACACGAACACACACACGAACACACACACGAGAGCGATTACATAACCTCCCTTGCGTTGCGCGGAGGTAATAATTTATAACTGCTCTACTAGGACACACACTCACACGAACACGCACACGCCTCTCCACACACGCATCCACACGCATACAGGTAAGCACACACGCACGCACGCACGCACGTACATGCGTGCACGCGCACACGCATACACATACACACACGTTCAAGCGTGCACGCACGCACACACGAACACACACACACACACACACACACACACACACACACGCACGAACGCCCGCACGCGCATATACACATTCATGTACCCACCTCGCCTTGCAGCTCTCCCTTCCACCAGCCCCGGTTCTCTCCCTGTCTGTCCAATATCTTAATTAGATCACCCTTCTTGAAAGACAGCTGATTTGAGGAATTTCCATTAAAGGCATACTTTGTCATGCAGGAGGACGCGTCACCTGATAAAATGTGTCACATTGTCACTTACGAGGACACAATCGCCTGATGAAACAAGTCGCATTGTTACTAAGGAAGACAAAGACACACGAGGAAATGTGTCACACCGTCACTAAAATGGGCAAAATCACGTGATGAAGTAAGTCACATCAAAATCGTACACTATTGGCATCGATAATAAATCGTCACCGGCTATTGGCATGCACCATGACAGGTCAGTCACATGATTATTATATTCCGCACACTGTCAAGCAACAGGACAAGTGACGCGATAAAACGCCACACCCTAATTGATATACAACAGAACTGTCTGCTCAAGTTGCACAAATGCAGCGACGTACGTGTCAAAAAACCAAGACAAAATTTATTTAAATTATACGACATTATAAAAAGTTACTGTACTAAAACTATAACGTGCCAAATACCTCTCCACGTGCCTAGAAAATCTATTTCGGTAGAATGTAAACGATTTTATAGAGCGAATTGTGCAAAAAATGAGTTAAATATTAATAAATGGCGAAGTCGCACTGTACCTTTCGACGAAAACGGCAGTGTTAGCTTGATGTCGACGTTCGCAAATATCGAACACAAACTGTTTTTCGAGTAGAAGTCGATCAGCTCCTGCATGTACGAATAATAATCTTCTGTACTCTATAACTATATCTCTGTAACTATAATAATCTAAATTCTGCATATGCATGATGTGCGGGAGCCCGTATTTACGGTTACAAACGCAATACACACGCACGCACACACACACACACACGCAGACACACACACACACACACACACACACACACACA